CTTATAAACCTATTAATAAGAGTGCTTTAAGGGTCCCTTATTAGCTTAATCTTATTCCTCTTATATATAAAGGGGATACTAGCGGCTAAGGGATACTAGCTATTATATATAGATAACTTTAATATCTCTATAACGTTAACCTTAGCTAAGAAGAACGTTTAGTAGCTAAAAGTAATAGCTACTAACTTATTTAAATAAGCTAAAGACTAAAGGGTTTACTTTTACCCCTTAAAGATAAAACTTATTTACTTTAATAAATAATAGTAGCTTATTTTAAAGGGTATTATAATAAGATGCTTATTTTTTAAGGTAACGCCCTTAGTTTAGTAGCTAAGGGTCTTCTTTAATTCTAAGCTCCTATTTAAATAATATATTAAGAAGAAGGTAGCCTTTATATAAGCTACTTTTAAAGAACTATCTTACTTAACCTCTATATAAAAAGGCCTATTATTTAAAGCCTTTAGATAGCTCTACTAAGCCTATATAGCCTCTATAGTAAACTATAGGGCCTAGCTTTAGTATAAGGGGCCTAAGACCCTTAAGAGCCTAATAAAGCCTTTTTAAAAGCTTTAAAACTAAGCTCTTTTAAAGGTCTTAAAGGCCTTTAAAGAATCCCCTATTAAGGCTTTAAAAGCTAAAGTAGCCCTACTACTACTAAAGGTATAATTTAAAAGGGTATGCCTCTCTTATACCGTCTTAACCCTATACTTCTTACCTAGTTACCTTATAGAGTAAGCTTATAACCTAGCTATATAGGACGACCTCGCTAACTTAGGCTTTAAACTAAGGGCCTTAAGCTATATTAGGCTATATATATAGCTCTTTTACCTTATTAAAGGCCTAGTAGCTTTTATAGGACCTAATTATAACTTAGAAAGAAGGAAAGCTAGCTAGGAGCCCTTATAGGTCCTAGAGCTTAAAGCCTTTATTATAATAATAAAGGCCCTTAAGCCCTTAGCTAAGAAGTAATACTAACGCCTCTTAGCTAGCTTAGCTAGCCTAGAAGACTTTAGGTTATAGCCCTTAGCTTTTTATACTAACGGCTTTAAGGGGTACCTTAAAGGCTCCTTTATAGAGACTAACGCTTACTCCTTTTATAAAATAGGCCTATTTTCTAGGCCTATTAAAGTATACTATAAGAACCTAAGGCCTTTAATCGAAGTAGCTAATATAGAGCTATTTATAATACTAAGGGTCTTTAAGGACCTAGCTAAGAGGCCTTAGCCCTTAAGGCTTAGCCCCCTTAACCCCCTTATAGATACTTATATTTTTATAAATAGCTAAGCTACTATAAGGAAGGTTATAGGTTTCTTAGACTTAGCTATATATATTAAAAAGCTCCTATTTAGCTTAGAAGCCTTTTATAATATATAGCTATACTAGTGCCCTAGCTACCTAGGGATCTTTAGTAATAAGCTAGCTAACTAGCTAGCTAAAAGAGGCTTAAGGGCCCTTACCTAAGGGACCCCCTTAGTCTTTATTAGCTACTTATAAAGAAAGGTCCGGTAAGCTACTAAGGACTATTAAAAGGGACTCTAGGCTACTAAGGCGGCTAAAAGCCTTAAAGCTAAGGGCCTAGGTAAGCACTATATATTTATTTAAAAAACCCCTTACCTAGCCCTTAGCCTAGATAAGGACCTTATAAAGAGTCCTAAGCTAACCCTCTTAGCCTTTTACTAGCTCCTTTTTAGGGCTAGCTTCTTATTTTCCTTCTTAAAAAGGACTAATAAGGTAGACCGAGACGACTACTACTATAGCTAAGAAAGGTATATAGCTAGGCACCTTATCGTAAGGTGCCCGAACTATAAGAAAGAAGAGAGGTCCTTTACTAGACCTCTAAGAGATAGAAGGGGGCCCTTAGCCTACCTATTCTCTATAGCTTTAAGGAAGGAAGGTAAGCCCTTCTAACCTTCTTAGCTAAAATAGAGATAGGGATAGCTAAGTAGCTTAAAGAGGAGTAACGTAGGGGCCCTAGGGCCCTTATAAGGGAAAATCACCGCGAGGGAGGGACTAAACTAACCTTTCCTTTATCTTTACCTTTATAGCTACCCTTTCCTTAATTATTTATAAGCCCCTAGGCTTTATAGCTAGCTAGGACTACTAATAAGGGCCTAGGCCCTTATTAGCCTTACTATAGCCCTAGAGGCTATATATAAGTAATAATATAAAAATAAAAAGAAGCTTTAAATATATTAAGGGCTAGTATATACTTAGTATAGTAGTATAGGGCCGAATAATTATTTATTTAAAGCTAAGAAGAAAGAAGGAAAACGTTATCTTAGTTATATTAGTTATCTATCTTCCTTAGTCCCTACCTTAACCTATATTTAGGTACTATTCGGCCTAAGTTTAGGTCGAGCTCTATATATATATAGGTCTACTTTAGCCTAACGTTAGTACGGTCGCTATCGTATAACCTTAGCTCTCTATAGGAACAGCCCGTAATAGTAAGGTAGAGATATTTAATTCTTATAAGGGTAGTAATTATCCTTCTTTCCTTTATCTAACACCCCTTTTTATACCTATCTAGTATCTTAATTAATAAAGAAGATCTTACTTAAAGAAGCCTTTAATATCTTCGTAACTACTAAGCTTTTTACCGGTTTTTCCCCTCTAATTTAGCCGTTGCCGGTATATCTATTTTACCTCTTACTACCTTTATAAGAAGCTCTCGCTACTTTTACTTCCCCTTATACCCCTACCCTCTTCTCTATACCTCCTTTTAGCTCCTTTTTTAGAACCGGTTTTTTAGCTTCCTAGGTCCCTCTTACTATAGGATATCTTTAAGAACTATAAAATTAAGCTATACTTTACGATAATTATAGCTTATAAATACTTAATTAAGCTAAAATTAGGACTTTATAGTAAGCTAGTTAACTTAGTTACTATTTAAGAAAGTCTACTATATAGCGTCCTATAAAATTTTTCTCTAAAAGTATTATATTATAAGTAATATATATATATATAATAAGATAATAATATTGTCTTACTTTAGCTTTTTTCTTATTATATATATAGCTGTTTCTTTAAGTTACTAAAATAGCTAATAGATATATAAGTATTAGCTAATATATAGACCTTATTAAAGTTATTTAGGTTATTATCTAAATAGGACTAATATTATATATAAATTATATAGAAAGTAGACTTAAAAGATAATATAAAAGGGTTATTAAAGATATTAAAATATATATCTTTAAAGAGGGTAATAAGGCAATAAGAGGCTACGTTAACTACTTAGGTTTTATCTAACTAAATCTATTATTTTTAGTCTTCTTTAATAAGACATACCTATTTAAAAGTAAATACTATTTGCTTTTCTTATACTTTAAGTACTAATTAGAATTATTATAATTAATAGTAGTAGCTGCCTTTAGCGAAAGAAAGGGCCTAGCTAATCGCTTAAGGTTAATAAGGGCATAATATAAGGATAGCTTCTTATAGCCCTAAGGGCGATAAAAACCGCTTGCTTTTAATAAGTATATACATTATACTCTTAAGCTAATTAATATCGAAGTTCTTCTAGAAAGAGTCGTAGATAAGACAAGGAGGAAGGGACGATGGAAGATGTGATGTCTCCGATCGGTCTGTGCCAGAAGCCCAATTTTATCTTACCAACATAAACAGCCTCAGCTTCGAGACGCACTAGATAGTATGTTTAAGGACCAAGCCGATGGTGACAGAAAATGACTGGGTCCAAACCTCGACACTCTGGCATAGATCATTGTTGGACCTTATGCCCCAATGATTTCACTTCTTACGGGCCTTTCTGTCAAGATCTCTCACCAGGCAGCAAGGCTGGGGGTTTTTCGCCTTATGGAAATGACACCACTCCTTCTATTATTCAATCGATCCTGCCCTCGCGAGCTCATTCTTGCTGTGGCATCTTCAACCCGTCTTCCAAGCTCGCCGTCGCACTTCCCTCCAGTTCTGCAAGGCCCATCCCCTTCGCTATTTATTCAGCAGCCTGAAACAGTCGCCACAGCGCGGGTCAATCCCCGTGAATTTTCTTAGCTCTGGACCAAGGCCAACATGTGGCCCGAATCATACTCGATAACCTGTTGCCTACGAATACTGATTTTGGCATGGCACTGCCTCGGTTCGGCGAGAAATGCGCGCTGACGGGCACCAACAGGGAGTCAACACCGCGTATAACGTTAGAACGAACGTTGGGTAACTGATGACCATGACGTCGAATCCCTTGGGCTTACAACAGTTCCCCATAAGGCAGGCCTCGCAGCCTCGCAGCCCCGACACGCTCCCGTCAGCCACCTGGCCGTGACCGGATCGCATACCTGCAGCCCTCATTGGCTCGGGCCGTAGCTGAGGCCCGTCTGACTCCGAATTGGAAGAGCCGGCGGCACATAGCACTCCATTAGTATTAGCACAACACTGCCCCGGTCTTGGCTTCGTTCAATGTCATCCGGAGCCTCGTTGGTGGTAATGGCCCCATGGGAATCTTCGATGGGCCCCTTCCCTTCTCCAGGGAATTTTTTTTTTTCGAACCCTTGATCCTTGCTGTGATTCGCACATCAGTCTAGGCATACGTATAAGCTCATGGCTCGCCGGAACGTATCGCAGCTTGCGGCCGGCAAATCTTTGCTCATGCTCAGTATAAGAACCTGCACCTGCCCCCCGTCTTCAACGTTTCGGCCAACACGCTGCATCTCATACTGTTTGTTCCTCATCGATCCAGCTGAATCATCCAAGACCGGAAGCCAATTAAAGACTCTCCTCAATCAGAGTCGCTGTCCGCCATGGTGGTTTCCGGGCGGCTACTTGTCCAGTTGTTCCCCCTGTTCGCTACCGTGGGCGCGGCTTTGGGGGCAAACTCAACCATTCGATGGGCCCAATGCGCCAAAAAGATCGACAGCCTACTGCCTGTCGACTGTGGTCGCCTTGAAGTGCCCCTCGACTACACAGAGCCAGCTTCTAGCCCAAGGCTGAACCTCGAAATGCTTCGAGTCCCCGCCGTGGCGCAGCCAGCCAAAGGGAGCATCATGCTCAACTTTGGCGGTCCGGGTCTTACTGCGCGCGAGACACTGGCAAATCTCGCCAGTCTCTTGCAAGCGTGAGTGCAATCACATTCAGTCGTTAGCGAACATCGGTGCTGAAAATGGCGCGCATCCAGTCTCTGCGGCGGCCGCTATAACCTCATTGCCTTCGATCCACGGTAAGTGCCAGGCTTCCGAGTGCGGCTTCAAGGGTCTATGCTAAATAGTCGACAGAGGGACCGGCAACACGGTGCCGTTTACCTGCTACGATCGTGCTTACTGGATGCAGACTTTCTTCGAAGATCCCATTGCTCCCAATGATCCGGACGAGATTCCCCTGGGAAAACTTTGGTCAAGAGGCTCCATAGTGTCCAACCTCTGTGCGAAGAAGCACAGCGAAACCGGCAGGATGATTGGAACGACGTTTGTCGCAAGAGACATTGTCCGGGTTGCGGAGGCCCTGGGCGAGGATGGTCTGGTGCGGTATTGGGGTAGGTCTTGAGGATTCTGCTCCCACTACAAGTTTGCGAAGGGACAAATTGCTCACGAAGAAGAACAGGATTCTCGTACGGGTCGACGCTTGGCGCCACTCTCATCTCCATGTTCCCTGACAAGGTGGACAAGGTGATTCTAGACGGGGTTCAGAATCCGCACGAGTATTACAATGCATTCGCGTATGGCACCGACCCCTAATGACCTGATGTGACTTGCCGGGACGGACACGCCAAGTGGGCGCTGACTGACTCTCAATAACAATAGAGACTACGAGGAATGGGCGCAATCGGACCAGGTCTTCTCGGGTATCTTCCAGGCTTGCGCTGCAAATCCTGACCAATGCTCCCTTGCCCGGCCTGGGAAGTCAGCTGCGGACCTCGAAAGTTCCGTCTGGGATCTCTTTGAGACTCTGAAGCGACGCCCCATCCCAGTTGGGACCCTGACGCTTGACAACAACGTCCTTCGTCGCTTGGTTTCTGGTGCTCTTTACACGACAACGGCGTGGAAAAACCTCACCGATGTTTTCGATATGCTTGTCTCGGGCAACATCAGTGAACAGCGTGTGCTTGATAGCATGGGTGGTGCCCCCTCGATATCTGACAACGACTTGGACAGCAATATCAATCAGTCGGCGGCCTCGATTATGCCCTTCTTTGGCATCCATTGCTCCGACCGAGCGGCACGGGCCCAGACCTTCGACAACGTCCTTCCCTCTATCCACCGCCTCTTCCAGATTAGCAAAATCATGGGCGGGGTCGTCTCCCTCCCAACCATTACCTGCTCGCAGTGGAAGCTGGAACCCAAGGAACGTTACCGAGGTGACTTTCACGTCCGGCCCAGGAGGCCGGTTCTGCTCGTCGGAAATACCTACGACGGCCAAACCCCTCTTGCTTCGGCCCGCAACGTCAGCTCCGGATTCAAAGACAGCGTGGTTCTCGAGGTCAACGGTTATGGCGTACGTTGAATGGATTCTTTTCCCCATTCTATCCGCGTCGTGCAGTCACGTTGCAGTGGCTAACGTATCCAATTGATGTAGCATACCTCGCTCAACCTGCCCTCAATGTGCGCTCTCAAGACCGTCTCGAGCTATTGGCTCAACGGAACACTGCCGCAGCCCGGAACCGTCTGCGAGGTGGATGCTCCGCCTTTCTCCAATATCACCTGGAATGACCTGTTGAAGAATTCGAGCAAAGAAGAGAAGCGCCACCTAAAGAGGAATGCCGACCACATGTATCCGGTGGCTTTTAATCCGTGAAGATTGGCGTGAGGGATTCGTTACGTCATGTTCAATGTTTGATGTATTGCATATGCTTTGCTCATCCCGCGTCGGAAGGAAGTCGGAGCCAGAAGCTTCTTAGATATGATGGCAGGCGCATTGGTACTTCGCAACGTCATAGCATCGGTTCGGTGTTTTTGAGAGCGCCTCGTTGTATTGGATCCACGCGAGGGCCCAGACAACCAAGGCAAATGTGGCATCGGCCATGCAGGAGTTGAGTGATATGCGAGGTTCGACATAGAATCGAAGGCATGAGTTAAACACAGCGATACACACACGCTCGGATCCGATTTGAGACTCGAGAGATGCATGCTGTCTGATAAAGTTAGAACATATGCGGTGTAATGAATTATCATACAGGATATGATGAGCCAGGGTCGCATATCGATGTCAACGTGGTATCTCCTCGCCACGATTCTGTCCCGTACTGACATTGACACTTACAATGCACCGTAAAGGGAGAGATTGCAAGCGAAGTGGACGATTTCGTCGTGCGGCTCTGGCCGTTTATGACACCTTGTCGCTTGACAGGGAGGGTCCTGGCAGATTTGTGCCCTGAGTCTCTCATGGAGTGCATCCGCACACACAAAACTTCTGGAAATCTACATCGAGTATAAATTCAGGGACTCAGGCGCAAGGTGAGATTTCAGGAGTCGTTTTTTGAGCCAATTCAGGGGCGATCTGACATGTGCACAATATGTTTGTGAGACTTTAACAGCACTGCGTGGATCTACACCTTGGCGCTGAGAGCTACGAGCATTGGAGTGTCCGATGTCTGGGCAGGATCTGTGGTGTAGAGATTCCTTGAGATATCGGGGCGCTTGAACATTAAAGCACGGGTTGGCCTTGGAGGCGGGTCAGAACGGATCTCGACAAAGGTTTCGTGGAGGAGCTCAAAACAGGCCAATTAAACGATGTCATCTTTACTTTGGCGCTACATCAATATCTTGGTCCCATTCATCGCCGCGTCTGTGCTCTTGCGGCATGCTCTGCGACTCAACCGACCTCGGACGCTCCCGCTTCACTCTACTGTAGCACGCATAACGGGACTTGAGTGAGACCTTACATGGATATTTTGGGAGGAAGTCTCGACAGCGTCTACCGAGGAGGGAAGGCAGAGGAGGCAGAGGAAGCAGAGAAGTGATCCGACGTGTTGTGCAGAAGGTTTATTAAGCTCAATAATGGAATCCCGTCCTCCTCGTTTGTCCCTCGGCAATCACCCACGGGCGCAAAAGTGGCTGCTTGTATCTGGTCATGGCGTATGCAGCAACTTTGGCATCGGGGCAAGATTGGTGGCGAATACTCCGTTCGGAGAAGTCAGGCGACATGGGCGAGCAGAGGGACGGCGAGATAAGAGTCTTCCATGCATGCGGCGGCAGTCTAGCCGGAAAACATGCCATTGAAGCATCGCGGTGGAGTAGGTGTCAACAATTTACGGTTCTTGTGGCTGTACGTATGTATATAACTATATGTACGCGGCATGTTTGTTTTGTTTCGTACGGAGTCACAGGCATTTTATATGCAGCGTCTACGAATATAGCCGACAACGCGTCATGGCAATGCCTTGCTTCCCACATCAAGGCCTGCCGGGAGCCCGAATCGGTAACTCTGGCTCATCTCAGGTAGCCCTAGTGTCTTGACCAGCTTCCTCTTGATCAACGGCTGCCGTCTTGGAGTGAACAGGCCACGCATTGACAACGCCCTGCACAACCACGCGACTTCTGTTGCCATCAATGCCGCGGCGCCGGATCGCCCGGGTCAACCCGGAGGCCTATCGGAGTCCGGCGCAGGCCAGCCTTGACTCTGGGAATCCACACCCGTCTCCACCCAGACCTTGGGCTCATCGGCCCGTCTTGAGAAAATTTCGAGGGCCCTTTCCGTCGCCTTATCCACTCCCCGCCGGTACGACGTACCATCAACAAATGGGTTGGTGTGTGTGACGTTCATGACACGGCGGCTTCTGCTGATACACAAGATGCCACTGCTCTTATTATTGGTCTGAGTTGGCAAAGGAGAGAGAATGCTTGAAAGCTGCGCTGTCTACTGACATCGTTGCTCCCAATCAAAACAAAGCGCTGAGTCGAGCCCCCTCCTCTCTTCGTCTCAAATTGTCCAGAGCCCCTGGACCGCGCCGAGGCATCGTCAACGGGAAGCTTATGCCGAGAACTCGTGGTTCCCGGGTCACGATGGCAGCCCGGTCGTGACGAGACCGACGATCCGTGTCGACTTTCATGCGAGGGCCAGGGCGGCCCAAGAAATCGGACCACCGGCCGGCCCGTCCAAACGATGGCCATCCAGGGTGGGCTGCTGGAGATTGTGAAATTGGCCGGTGACGGCACGGGACGAGGTCCATTTGTTGATGTCCATTCGTTGATGCCGCCTTTGCTGATTACAGCAGGTATCCTGGGTGTGTGCGTGTCTGTTCGCACAGTCAACGAGTCCCACCCCATCCATCGATGATGGCATGCATCATGGGACGGCGAGGCTCCGTCTGTTTCCCCCTTGTCGTCTTGTGCCAGGCGATGGAGCTTTTTGCCGGACTCGGCCGTCCTGAAAAGCGGTCCAAGGCCTGTCTTCCAGTGGGCACGCCAAGTATGACGACGATATGAGCCACGCCCCGTCGCCTTTGACCCTGCTCTTTCTTGCTGCTCTATTCTCGACATCTCCACCCTGTAGACCTTGTCCTTTCTACCGTGGTGCTGCTCCGACTCACCGGGCCGTGCAACTTCGGCATCCCCCCTTTCCCAGGGCGTCAACGCATACTGCGAGCGCACACGTCGGGCGTGAGAGCATCATGAAGTCACTTCGACAGCGGGAGCGTCCCGCGACGCAGGAACACGAGGTCAACGGGGTTGTCGAGCGGGACAAGAGCTCCCGCGTCCTCGCTGACGGCAAGAAGACGGAAAGGGCCCGGGAAAAGGTGACGCTTCTTGCGTGCGTCCTCGGGGCCGTCGCCAGTCTCGGCGGCTTCATCTTTGGCTATGTCAGGTGCGTCCATTGATCTTGTCTGGCTGCTCCACTCCACGCTGGCCGAGCTACCCCGGGCTGGATCCGGGGCAAAGGCAGGCTGCCTTGAATGCTTGCCGATGACTTACGGCCGGACAACAGCGGCCAGATCTCGGGCTTCTTCCTCATGGGCGACTATGCCCGGCGCTTCGGCTCGCTCCAGGCCGACGGCTCGTACACATTCAGCGCCTCCCGGCAGGGCACCATCGTCGGTCTGCTCAGCATCGGCTCCCTGTTTGGCGCCCTCGTTGCCGGCAAGATGGCCGACACGATTGGCCGCCGCCTGTCCATTTCCCTCTCGGCATTCTTCACCTGCGTCGGCACCGCCATCGAAATCTCGTCGTCGACCAGCTGGCCCCAGTTTGCCGCCGGCCGCCTCGTCACCGGCCTGAGCATCGGCGCCATGTCCGTCGTCGTGCCCATGTACCAGTCGGAGAGCGCGCCGGCCGTGATTCGGGGCGTCATCATCTCCTCGTACCAGCTGCTCATCACCCTGGGCATCTGGACCGCTGAAATGGTCAACTGGGGCACCGAGTCGATGCAGTCGAGCGCTTCGTGGCGCATCCCCAACGGCCTCTCCTTTGCGTGGGCTCTGATCCTGGGCACGAGCATGCTCTTCCTGCCCGAGAGCCCCCGGTATGCCTACAGCCGCGGCCGGATCCACGAGGCACGCGTCTCCATCGCCCGGCTGAGCGGCTTGGCCTCCGACTCGGACATTGTCAACCGCCAGATTGCCGACATCCAGGCCAAGCTCGACGAGGAGAGCGAGTGCGCCGCCGAGTTTAGCTTCGTGGAAATATTCACGGGGCCCCGGATGCTCTACCGCACCGTCCTTGGCGTCGTCCTTTGCGCCGGTCAGCAGCTGAGTGGCGCAAACCTGTTCTTCTACTTTGGCACGACGGTATTTGCGGCGACGGGCATCAGCAACAGCTACACGACGCAGGCCATTCTCGGCTCCGTCAACGTCGTCTGCACCATTGCCGGCCTGTGGATCATCAAGCGCTTCGGCCGTCGCGTCACGCTTATGGCTGGTGCCGCCTGGATGATGGTGTGCTTCTTGTAAGTCGACGGACAGACATATACCCCCTCCTGTGCCGGCCGACATGTTCAGAGGGACACGAGAAGCTAATCGTGATCCAAGCGTCTATGCCTTTGTGGGCCACTTTGCCCTAGACCCTGTCGACCCGATGCAGACACCCAGGGCCGGCTCTGCCCTCGTCGCCTTTTCGTGCCTTGCGATTGCCGCCTTTGCCGTCAGCTGGGGCCCGCTGGTGTGGACAGTCAACGCCGAGCTCTACCCGCCGCGGTACAGGGGCACTTGCATGAGTCTTGCCACAGCCTCCAACTGGTTCTGGAACTTGTATGTGATGCCGTGCATTCCGTCTCTGTTTGGCAAGCTTGCTAACCGCAAATCATATAGCATGCTATCCTTCTTGTAAGTCGAAGACTCCCTGCCTTTCCCCCTTCTCCCGCCGGAGACCTGTCGAGATCCGTCGACTAACAGTATCCCTCTTACAGCACTCGCTTCATCACCGACCAAATCGACTACCTATACGGCCTCGTCTTTGCCGTTTGCTGTGCCGCCCTCGTCGTCATTGTCTTCTTCTTCGTCATTGAATCCAAGGACCGCACGCTCGAGGAGATTGACACCATGTACGTCCGCCGCGTCAACGCCATCAAGTCGAGCGACTGGGAGACGAGCGACTATCGCCGAGAGGATCGGGCCACCAGCGAGACGGGAAGTGTGAGCGAAGAGGTCAGGGGTCACTGAATGATTGGACCCAGCGTCGCCATCGGACGTTTATTAGCACATGGCCCGTCCTTGGTCACTCAAAGCATGAATGCTAGCCTCTGGGATCGCCGTCCATCCAGGAATGGACGGCTATACTGTAGGTTGGCTCCTGCAGTAGACCAAGCACCGCCGTGATCACGGAGACGGACATGGCCGTTTTCAGCCTCTAGGCAGAGTCCCATATCGCTCGGGGAGATAAGGGGAGGGGGGATGGACCGCGGGACGGGTCGACGCAAAAAGCCAAACTAATTCCCCTGGGCGGTGCCGGTAAACTCAATTCCACCTGGCATCTCGGCTTTGTAATAAATGCCGTATTTTGGCAATGACCGCAGCTCTTTCCACCATAGAGCATAAGATCAAGCGCACTCGCTTTCATGTGCGCTGTCTCGGGCAAAGTTACCCGGCTTCGATTGTTCGAGAGTGTCCGCTGCCCTCGTGACAGCCTATTCATGTATGTGTTGGCATTCATTTCTATGTCGGTTGAAAACAGGTTCTCCGTGGACTCCAAAGCTTCATCTCCTGGCAAATTCCATCAGACAATGACAGCTTCCCCTGTTCAATCAATCAACACACTAGGGAGGCGACCGGCCCCCCATGTCGACAGCTATAATCCGCCCCTCGGTGCTGGATGCCACGACTAGCAGTCCCGCGTGATCCCACTCGACGACTATTAAGTCACGAGCTTGCCTTATACGTCTTTCTTCGTCGTCGGCCGTTTCCCGCCCCGGCTTGACGCCATGGTCGGGGGCATAGCCGAGAGTGCGCAGCAGCAACTGGGTATCCGCCATTGCCGTCGAAGCCGTCGGCAATAAAGGCCGCCATGGCAACCGTGAATGGCCGGCCGTCCGTTCGGCCGATAGATCTAGGAGCCGGTGCCCTCGAGCGCGACGATTGTATGGAGGGGAGGCTCCATGCCCAGCTCATCCATGTGAGTATTGACGCCCTGGAGGCTCTCCTTGATGCGTTCCCGATTCTCCGAGAGCGGCGCGGGATCGAACTCGAGTTTCTCGGGTCGACGACCTGCTCCACCACCACACTCTGAACATTTGCCATGCCGGCCGCGGTGCGATTGACCTGGAGCCTCACGTAGCTCAAGCCGTTCCAGTCGGTGCCGCTCTTTACGATCCGGACATTGCCTTATGCATCTGGCGCCATACGCGAGCCACTTTCGAGCGCAGTCTTGTTGGAGAAGCTATAGTCGACGAACTGCGGGTGGCGTGAGCATTCTCGCACGACCTCGACAGGCGAGGCTACGTTGCAAGGGGGTTAGATCCCGGTAGTCGGAGGGCCAGTCACCGGTACAAGCCCAGCTAAGGGCAGATGGCTAACGAGGAGGCCGACTTACGTGCGGGAGAGGCCAAAGAAGCCAACCTTGAGGTCTTGCAGTTCCGCCACATGATACGTGCGGGCGCCTGCAAGGAGGCCATGGTCTGCAGCTCGTAGAGCCTTTCTTCGCTAAAGTTAAAGTATTTGCCTCGGGTCGGCTAGATAGCAACGGACGCGGTATGCTTGATCAAGAACTCGAAGAGCATCCACCGTAGTTGCCGTAATAGCCTAGGTCGACTCGCAGTTCCTTAAGCAGCGGCAGTATGTGTGCACCCGACAAGATTTGACGCCTCTAATGATGGGGAGAAGACGCCGCCGCTGAAGACTGTATACGGGGCTAAGTGCTCGTACCGCGTGCGGTAAGACCGCAGCTGAGTGAGGAACCGCTCGATACGCTCTCCATTAGAAGTGTGTGCTGAGTAGCCGTCACGTTAGCGAAGTCTCGACGATCGAGGAACCGCGCGAGCTCTGGACGCCGGTTCACGGACGCTGAAGACGTGACTCACGACATTGTTGAAATGCAGAAACGCTAGCTGGACGACATGCTGGCTGGCTAACGCGGCTGACCCCATAGACGAATGACGGATGGACTGGTTTTAGGATCTCGGCAGCTTGGGCCCAGGTGAAAATCGGCGTGGAGAGGAGAGGCGTGAGCGGCAGAATGGCGGCAATGGACGCAGACTGGGCCGCGCTTGGCGGTAAATAGACCCAGTGTCGCTTTCGGGACGGCTCGACTTGATGCTTAAACATGAAGCTTCCTTTTCCGTGCCTTGATGTCGGCGATACCACGTACAGTATGCTTCTTGGCATTGTCTCCCGGACACGTTGCCTTCTCATCCTTGTGCAACCATGTTTGAAGGTGGATACCTGTAAACTGACAGCCTATATACTGCACACCTACTGTTGAAGTAGTCCCCGCTGAAACTTTAAAGCTGGGTCTGATGACGATGTCGACGGCCACGGCGAGAAGTCATTCAGAGAAACAGCCGACAAAGGAGTCTACTATGAAGTATCATGACGTATCTTTGAGCGCTATATGCTTTCGTCCATGGTTTTTGATCGAGTTTGGTCAGCCAGAAAGACTGTCGGAGCTTGATGCAGCCCGTAGAGAGCAGCCTGCACCGCAATCGAATAGAGACGTATTACATGACTTGACGTTTTTGCGCAAGGTGTCAGAAACTCTCGGCCGGGGGGTTTCGCGTCTAGCCCAGTGACCAAACAATGGATGCAAGGAACAAGTCTCGTGAGGCCCAGACATCTAAAAAGTCCTGGACAGCACCGTGATGCACAAGGTGGCGGAGTTACTCGATACGCATGTATGTATGTACGTATACCTACACATATGCGAGTGTTGATGCTTCAGCTCCTCATTTGGACCGTGGCCGGCAAACGGGGACGCTCAAGGGCTGCCCCGGGCAGAGGAGCAAGCGGAGCGGGCTCCCTGTGTTGTTTGCCAAGCCGCCCGGACATGCAGAACGGAGTAATGGTTCGTTTGCCAGGTGACATTTGGGATTCTGATGACTACTTGTACATACGGTAATTACAACCTCGTAGCCAGAGTGAAAGGGCGTCAGGGGGCGGGGAGAGAACCTGTTGGACGAGATGGAGCGCCACCGAGCTGCCAATCCGTTGCGCACAGGCAAGGTGGCGTCGCCTGGGGGCTTGCGGCAACGGCGCATGTCCGTCCAAGTGTAATGAATGTACTGTACGGACAGGTAAAGTCAATTAACCTATTGTGAGCTATTGTGAGCCATGCCGTCCGTGGCCGGAGACACCTTTCAACTACACACAGTGCCTACTCTGCATCCCGCAGGGCAAAGATGGTGAGTACGATGCCTCCAACTCGTGCTAGCCCGGTCCGCTCTGGCCTGTCCGGAGCACACACGTCGCCTTTCCTTGTGTGCCCGGCCAGAGGAATGGTGGCTGTGAAGTGTCGGTGGTTGGCGTGACGGCTTGATGGCGCTCTCGTTGCCGAGAACGAGACTTCTGAAGGCGGATTCACGTCATCTCCGACACGGTTCAGGACAGATTGATTGCTCCGTGCCCGTGTGCCAGGGCCCCCGGCAGCCTTGAACCGCGGGCGCGAGAGATTGAATGGGCCAGCCATACAGAGTAGTCGCCACTTGGACAGACAGAGCGGCTCCCGCGAGGCCTGCCTGCAGTATCATCTGTTGGTTCACATGCTGCGAGGGCCGAACTGACTTTCAGCACCGCCTTTGTGCATATGTATGTATTATGTATGTACTGCGTGTGGAAGGGACGCGACCAAGGCGCCTGGGAGAGGGCAGTGTTGGTACCTACTGTCGGCCCGTATTTATAGCCCCTGCAAAAGAACCGCGCATGGAGCCATCGGCGGACCGAAGGGGGCGCTGCCTGCGGGTTAAATACACATATGCATCCTTGAACCCCCCCGGACAGCCATAGGGGCGAGGAAGCTCTTGTTGGCGAAACAGAGCCTGCGAGCAGACGGGCCAAGCGAGGCAATCAAAGACAGAGGGCAACAAAGCACTTGAGTCGTCATGGTGGTTGGTCCTAGACGGTGTTGGGCAGCCAAGGGCTGGAAGCAGGGGCGTAGGGATTAGCATTCCACTGCCCTTCTCCCAACGCGCGCCCAAGGCTTCTTGGCGGTAACCCATAAGTTAATGCGTGCTCTGTTTTCCAGCACCTGGAACACGGCCGTCAATGACACCCATAAAGGCGTCTGTAGACTGTCCAGACTGTCTCAGGGGATGACGGGTCAAGGATCCACGATGGGGGTCTCAGAGCCTGTCGATACGAGGGGGCAAGGATGCGCCGCGGCGGACGCTGTTTGGGGATCGTCGACGGACCTATGCCGCCGAGGGCGAGCACCCACCGTGCCGAGACGTGGCCCGGGGGAAGGCTTTGATGAGTTTGCTCGCCATGCGAGCATCGGTACGGATACCTCGTATGTACCTTGTACATACATGTCCCCAGGGCGGCCCCCTTTGTGTGCAATGATAACTATTATTAAATCTCGTTTAATAAAGGAGGCTATAGGATACACAGCCTGAGTTTGAGGTACATGCGCCCTTATACCGTTTACATGACCAATTGCATCCGCAGTCGAGCGCGTCCTCGTCCAATAATGCCACGACGAGGAGGAACCCGTTTGCAGTGCCACCTATTGCGCCTCCGCGGGGGATTTAAATATAGGAGTAGAAAGCCGTGGACGGCCCAAGATAATGGTTTCCGCCTATCCGATAGGTATTCAAGCCTGCTGTAATGGTAAGTACTGTACCTACTGCCGATACCTAGGTACCTAGTATGTACAATGGCAAGGGTACAGTATCCACCTAGGTACCTAGGTACCTACAGCGGAGCCCCACCCAGCTCGGGCAAACGCCGTTGTTAGCGTCGACAGCCCGCCTCCAGCGCTGCGGGGGAACCATTGAGTGCTGGGGGAGCCAAGGAGCCTGGCGGAGCTGCACGTCGACGTCGCGCTAGTACTGGTACCGAGGCTGCGAATGTTCCAGATCGCTTCCGCTTGCATGGCAATCCGCGAATCGTTAGCAGCCGCGGCCCTCGTTTTCAGCCATGCGGTACTGCCTTGTATCCCGGGGCACGTGAGGTCGTCGGTACATGAAGATACTTTGCCTAGCCTCACGCGACAGTCGATGCAGCACAGCGGGGGGGAGAGGGGGAGGCGGGGGGCGCCGCTTCGCCAGGTACAGAAGCAGAAGGCCCGCGAGACACAAAGAGCACGCGAGCGCGTGCGGACCGCGTCCTGGCGGCCACGCCGTGCAAATAATGCCATCTACTACACATGTCACGTCGTCCGAGCGCCGGCCTCCTCAACCGATGGCCACGGATAAAAGAAAAAGAAGCGGACCCGGCCTGCAGCAAGTTTGCTTGTTGTGTCCCAGCAGAACCTGCACATCCAAAAGTCCAGCAGGTACCTTAGGTCGCCGTGTTGCATACAATACCTTAGGTACCCAGGTACCTAAGTACTTAGGCCCTGTTCCACGACGCCTTTAAATTGTGATGACGAGCTTTTTGGTCCTTGGTGGCTTCTACAGCCGCTTTGTGGTCGAGGATGCAGCCGACGATAATCTCAAGCTCGCCATGGCTACGTTAGCATTAGCCTAGACCTTTGTGGCCAGCGGCCCAATTGAGGAAAGCCAGGCTGCCGCTACAGCATACTACTAGTATATGACGATAACGACAATGGCTTCTCTCGAGCCTCCCTAAGTCCGGCTGTCTTGATTACGTAGGTACCTGCCTAAGGTACTGTAGAACAGTCAGTGGACCAGGATTTAAGACAGTACGTACAAGTGGACGTCCCCACTTCCCTAATTTATATGGGGCAATAAGTCCAGGGCCTCAATAATTACCACCTGGAGCTAAGGAAATAAGCGCTGCTTGTACCCCGTACGCAGCCGGCCAGGTACCTCGTGGCGCCGCCTTTCCCCGGTACTGCCCCGGTACAGTGGAGGTGTTCCCGCAGATGTGATTCGCGGGGCGCCCAGGGTAAGCTTATCTTGTCCCGTGCTTGGCATGCGTGCCTGGTCGCGCTTCTTCAACTTTTGGTCATGATTCTTCTTGCACCCTCGCCGCCTCCTTTTAACCCGACGCCTTCTTCTACCTCACTTCCCCTTGCCGTCTCTCGCCCGCCTCTCGTGTCCGTCCGCCGCCTCCTGTCCGCCGCCTCCTGTCCCTCGCCGACCGTCCAAGACCGTCTGGCTTCCGTCTTCCAATGCCATGGCTTCCCTCGGCGGCACTCTCTTGTCGACCCGCTTCTTCACCCGCCGCATCGTCCTCGCCCTCGTCTCCAGATTCGCCGACCGCCGCTTCGCTTTCGCCTTCGCCGCCGTCTCCGTCCTCGCCGCAAAGCTTGTCCACGTCTACGCCCATCTCGATGCCATCCCCGCCCCTGATCTGATACAATGGGGCAGCTCCTTCTTTGCCCAGGACACCCTTTTCCTCGTCGCCCTGCGGCTGCTCCTCGACGCCCAGTTGCACGTCTCGGCGCGATGGCTGCGCCTCGCGGCAAAGGCGCTCGCCTCCGTCCTCGTCGGCTTCGTCGCCCTCACCGCAACTATTAGCATCTCCTTCTTCTTTGTCGCCGGCCTTGAGCTTCACTGGCGCAACATTGGCACCGCCGGCGACTCGTCGGCCTGGCGAATGCTGCTCACGGGCCTCGTGTCCTTTGTCGTCGTCCTCGCCAGCATGGTCGTCCTCGCCGGCGTCGTCCAGGGCCTCTGCTACCTGCTCGCCGGCATGGCCCTCGACATCCTCAAGTGGCCCCTCTCGCTGCTGCCCATCCGCCGCTCGTCCGCCTCGTACGACACCGAGTACAAGCACCTCCCGCAGCAGGACGCAGACGGCGCCGCCGAGCAGGCATTTGCCGTCGATGACTCGCCCGACGTCGGCGCCCCGGACGCGCCCCCGCTGCCCTCCAAAAAGGTCATGCTTATTCTGTACCTGACCGTCGGCCTCGTCTTGCTCGTCCAGCTCGTCACATCCGTCTTCCGGCCCTCCGAGAGCTCCTTTGTCTTCATGTCCTGGACCCTGCCCCTGCTGCCCTTTGTCGACTTTACCCACTCGTCGCCCTCGCTGGCCCGCCTGCTCGCCACCCCCGGCTCCGAAAGCGCCAGCGTGGACTGGGACAACCGCACCGCCCTCGCCGAGCCCCCTTCGTTCCCCTGGCTACCCATGGACCGACCGCTCCCTGGCTTTGAGGACTGGTACGGGCACGACACCAAGCACTACAGCGGCGACAAGGACCCGCTGAGGATTTCCAACCTCGACGACCAGCTGCTGCCTGCCCTGCGTGACACGCTACGCGATATTGACATTCGCCACGTGGTGCTCATCAAGCTCGAGGCCACGAGGAAGGATGTTTTCCCCATCAAGAAGGACGGTCTAATTTGGGAAAAGCTGAGCAACTCGTTCAAGTCCAAGTCGCTGCCCGCCGACGCGCAGAAGCGCTTCGCCACGCTCACAACGACGGCAAACTTCCTCACGGGCGACTACGACGACGGCTTCGAGCACAAGGACCGGCCCCGGCGCGGCGGCCTCAACTTCAACAATGCGCACACCAGCAGCACCTACACACTCAAGAGCCTGACGGGCACCATCTGTGGCCTCACCCCCCTCATTGCCGACTTCAATCTTGAGCTGAGCAACCACATCTACCAGCCGTGCTTGCCGCACATTTTTGAGGCATTCAACGCGCTGGCCCACAACGACAGCACAAAGGCCGCCGCACAAGACGACTTTACCACCTTTAAGTGGAAATCGTCGTTTATGCAGTCCGTCACTAACACTTTCGACAAGCAAGGCGCCCTTATGCCCACAATGGGGTTCTCCAAGGACCGCATCATCACAAAGGAGTACCTCAAGAGCGACTCGGCCAAGTTTGGCGCCTCCAACCACACCGACATCAACTACTTTGGCTTGCCCGAAATCGCCCTCGAGGAATACATTCGGGACGAGTTTGCGTCGGCCAAGAAGAACAACGAGCGAGTCTTTCTCACCCACCTGACGAGCACCACCCACCACGACTTCGGCCTGCCCAAGGGCGAGCAGTACGTCTCGCTGACGGACGAGAAGGACCTCGAGGATCTCTCCCGCTACACCAATGTTGTTGGCTACGTCGACCGTTGGCTGGGCCGAGTCCTCAACATCCTCGAATCCGAGGGTGCCGCCAACAATACCCTGGTCGTCTTTCTAGGCGACCACGGGCTATCGATCGCGGAGCAGGGAAGCGTTTCGACGTACGCCAACGGCAACATTGGCAATTTCCATGTGCCCCTTGTCATCTCTCACCCGAAATTGCCGCACATTGATGTCAACGACGCCGTCATCTCGGTCCAGGTGCTGCCCACAATCCTCGACCTCCTCCTGGCGAGCGGTTCCCTGTCGCAGTCGGAAAGCCAGGCGGCCCGCGATCTGGTCCGCAATTACGAGGGCCAGTCTCTCATCCGGCCTGCGCGCCTCTTTCCCGACGACAAGGCCCAGGGCAGCTGGCAGTTTTCGCTCATCAACCCGGGCGGCGCCATGCTCGCTGTGCGCGATGCCCGGCGGCCAGACTGGCGCCTGATTGTGCCCATAGTCGACAACACCGAGTGGCGCTTCACCGACCTGGCTTTGGATCCTCACGAGACCAACACGACTGTGTCGTTTGACTTCAACACGCTCTACAAGAAGCTGGTAAGGGGGCACAGCATTGAGGCCGCCAAGTGGGCGAGCGAGGCCGCCGTCGTGACCAGTTGGCTGGTTGAGGAAAACACCCGGCGCTGGCGCTACAAGCAAGGGTGATTTGCCATTTTTCTCCCACGACGTGCCTAGAACCATGCACATGCACCCTTTGCAGGCCTCTTGTGGGCCGAGACCAGGACCCTGCCACGGCCATTGAATATAGAGCCGTGTCGAGGCCGTCCGACGGCGGGATGGGAAGATTGGGAAGACGGCCCTCTGGTGCGTGCCGGCACGATAAGCCCAATACACATACATAAACTTGTTTCTCACGTGGGACCGTGAGGAGAGGGCATTATTATTATAGACAATCATAGGCCGGGCGCTGCCTGTTTTGACGGCCTTGGCAATTGACCATGTTGTGCCCGATTGTTCTCCTTGGACTGTTTCTGCAACGCCGCAAACCCTTTCATGGATGTGTGCTTCCATACACGGTGCTCGCACGTATTCACACCCGTTACAGCCTCACGTATGCATGTAGGTTCTCCCGGATCCGGGGAGAGATGAGTTGAAAAGAGGGGAACTATATCGACGGGTATCTCAAGGGCGAGTGACAGCATGTGAGCGGCATATCAGACACAACAGCCGCCACACTCAGCTTGGGGATGCGCGGTGGTAGTTCAGGAGAGTAATCGTACAACCGGCCCGCGAGATAGCGCCCGAGGGGAATCTGTCGGAGCACAAAGGCATGCCCCGGCCAGTCACACGGGGAATTTGAGCCATTGCTCATCACGATACATACTGTATATGCAAAGGTCGGCGTCCGACGTCTTCCACCTTGTGGATCGCCAGTTCGCCGCTCTCGGCTCGGCTATCCCAGTGGAGAACATCGTGCCGTGCCCCAGACACGCAGCAGAAGCCCAATATATTCGGTAATCAAGGTTGCAGGACAACGGGGTTCGCGTCCTACCCCCTGCCATGGCGGCCACTCCCCTCTCGCCCGGAGGACCGAGCCCCGGCGGGACACCAAAGGGCGAGATGTCTATGACGAGGAGGGCGTGTGTAAGCGTGCCAAGTCGAGCCTGGTACTGCTCGAGGTTACATGTATAATGGCCCCTTTCCTCTGCTACCTTGCCGGCGCGATCTCTTGCCCCTTTACGTGAGATGGTCACTTGTTTCTACACGTGGACGAACCAATTTTGCAACACATTAACAGCACGAAAATGAACGGCCGTGTACTTCCCGAGAGCGGCGGCTTCTGCCCCGACCTCGCCGACTATTCCCGCAGTGACCCGGGTCCCCAGACGGACACGGCCGAACTGGATGCTCTGATTGTCGGCGCAGGCTTTTGTCCGTCAACTCCGGGCCCAAGGTGTTTGCGCTTTGCTGATGGTAGTGCGTGCCCTCTGCAGCCGGAATATTCATGCTCAAAACACTTCGGGACCGTGGCTACCGAGTCGTCGTATACGAGGCGGGTAACGATACCGGAGGCACCTGGCGGTGGAATGCGTACCCTGGAGCCGCAGTCGATAGCCAGGTGCCCGAGTACGAGTTCTCGTGGCCCGAGGTATGGAAGACCTGGGACTGGACGACCAATTACCCCGGCTATAAGGAGCTGCGGGCCTACTTCGACCACGTCGACAAGGTGCTCGACGTCAAAAAGGACTGCTCGTTCAACACCATCGTGACGGGGGCCGAGTTTGACGTGCACAAGGGTCGGTGGAATGTCGCCACGCAAGACGGCAGGAATACCACGGCAAAGAGCTTGATCCTGGGAACAGGTTTCGTGAGTAGCGATTCCGTCCTTGTCCCATCGGCACCAGCGTGTAAGTTGGGCCCAAAGCTGAGGCTCAGCGTCCTCGACATGTAGTCTGCAAAGAGATATGTGCCCGACTGGCCCGGCATCAACAACTTCAAAGGAACCATCCACCACTCGTCCTTTTGGCCGGACAGGGACATTGACGTGCAAGGCAAACGATGCGCAGTCATTGGCACGGGAGCGTCTGGAGTGCAGATTGTCCAGGCTTGGGGCCCCGTGGCCGGCGAGCTCAAGGTCTTCCAGCGGACTCCGAACCTGGCCGTCCCGATGCGGCGCCGAAGCCTCGGCGCCGAAGAGCAAGGGTCCAAGAAGGCAAGCTATCCTCAGCTCTTCATGTACCGCGAAAAGACGTTTGCCGGGTTCCACTTTGACTGGTTCGAGAGAAACGCGCTGGACGAGACGGCCGAGGAGCGGCAGCGGCTCTTTGAAGAAACCTGGGCCGCCGGCGGCTTCCACTTCTGGCTGTCCATCTACAAGAACACGCTCACCGACGCGGCGGCCAACACCGAGGCCTACAACTTTTGGGCGCACAAGACGCGCCCGCGCGTCAAGGATGCGCGCAAAAGGGACCTGCTCGCCCCGCTGGATATGCCGCACTTCTTTGGCATCAAGCGGCCGTGCCTGGAGCACAGCTACTACGAGCAGTTTAACCAGCCGTCGGTCGACGTCGTGGACGTCAGGAGCAACCCGATTGAGCGGTTCACCGAGACGGGCATCACTCTCAAGGATGGGACGCACCACAAGTTTGACGTGATTGCCATTGCCACGGGCTTTGTAAGTGCGCTCGGCTGCAAGGGCCGTCACGAGATAGGGGCTAACATTTGCCTGTAACCCTTGTAGGACGTTGTTACAGGAGGTGGGCTCTTTGCGGCTTTATTCAAGGAAGTCGACTCAAGCTGACATTGAGTACAGGCATGACCCAGCTCGGGCTCAAGAGCATCGACAACACCCGCCTCGACGAAGAGTGGTCCCACGGCACGAGCACCTATCTCGGTACCACGGTGAGCGGCTACCCCAACATGTTCCACCTGTACGGCGCCCATGGCCCGACGCTGCTGTCCAACGGCCCCTCGTGCATTGAGCTCCAGGGCCGCTGGATCGCCGACTGCATCGACAAGATGCAGCGTGACAAGATCAAGCACGTCAACCCCAAGCGCGAGGCCGCGCGCGCCTGGAAGCAAAAGGTCGTTGAAATCAACAACACCATGCTGTTCCCGACGACCCAGTCGACGTACATGGGCGGCAACGCTCCCGGCAAGCCTTACGAGCCCGTCTGCTTTCCGGGTGGGTTGGCGGCGTACACGTTGGCAATCAGGACTGCGCTTGACAGCATGGAGGGCTTCGATGTGGTGTATGAGTAGCTATCTTCTCGGCGTGGACTGCGTTTGCCACAGACGGGGTCCTGGGTACGAGGCTAGCCGCCCTGTTTGGAGTCCTCTTTATGGATGCCCAGAGGCAGCAATTCTGATTTGGAAGAACTGGCTGTGTCTGCCCCTCCGTCCAAGGCTGTGCTGATATTGGTTGGCAGGCTATTGCTCTGTACTATTGAAGTCCTCTATACTATTGAAGTTATCAAAACAAGACTATTCTTAAAAGTCACACAGAAAGTCGGAAGCAGCCAGAAGCTGGCCAAAGGATCCCCCAAGCCCCAGAAACCGAGCTCCTGCTCATCCCTTCGAGCCACAGCGGACGCCGCGCGACTCTGTTCAAGTCGCTAGACCGGAGCACATAGGGACGATAGAAGATTGTCCAAGAGGCTCGCCGTAGATGAGATACGGCAAAGGCCGAATATACATGTTCCGGACGTGCAATCCCTTGGTTTAAATCCATATAATAGGCGTCTCTCCAGCTTGATACTGTCGGGTGCACGCCATGACGCTCTCTTTTATCAATTCTAATACCGCTGCTCCCTGCAGCCGAACCACCGTTCAAATCCTCATTTGGCCTTTGGCCTTGCATTCTGTATATCGCGTATCATTGGTACTGCCAAACAGAGCAGAAAAAGGAAGTCAGCCATAAGGTGTACCAGTTTTGCATTTGCCGGAGCGTTCCACCTTTACCTAGTCAAGCGGTATTTCTGGTTTGATAGATATATTGCAACAAGTCAGCTCGCCTCCCGCCCCTCTCCCTTTGAGCTTCCTCTGATGCGCGATCCAAGACTCGGCTGTGTGTATTTTGGGCCAGATTGGTGCGTCTAGACCGCTGTGACGGCCCGGACATCGGGAAGAGCAATGGATGGGTGAAGTGCGTGGATACTGGGGCGGCTTGTAAAGTGGCCAGTAATCCGACCCGCGACAGTTAGCGACGATACAGAAGATGGAGTTGCAGACAATGTGATATATTTAACGCGATATCAACTTAACCGACAAACACTGACTTTACATTTCACTCAGACTGGCTCAAATCCAGCCAGTAAGGGACCCGCAGCGTAAAGACGCGGCGGAAATACGGTCGGATTCGACTTGCACGAGCTGCATTAAATGGGGGACGGGATGCTCAGGCAGTAAGGGGCTCGGGTATTGCCCAGCCTACCCACTACAGGCCATGAGCTTATATGGCACGTGTATGGCAACGAGGCCTGAGCGATATCAACAGTTGATCCAACACCTTGTAACACTTTGATGAGAAGTTTGCCAAGCTGGAGCGTGCTCCCAGGACCTGAGTCTACACAAACTTGGATAGCGGCCCTTGTAATGGCTCTCTCTTCCGTCCCGCTCTGCTCTGGTTGATGCCAACGGCGCTACGGAACGGAAGGCCGACCGGTCATAGACCTGCCTTCCGCGATGCAAGTGCACAAGGCGTTAAGTTAGCATAAGCCAAGGAATGCAGGGCCCAGACCGGCGACAGGACCGTTCTGCCAAAAGAGGGGCGCTTCAAAAACTATGCGATCTCCGTCATCTTGGTTTACCGCTCTAAGCGACAGCGACCACGGCGAGAGAAACAATCTGGATCCCGCGAGCTGCCACGACTAGCTCTCCGTCGACACACACGTCAAGTTCCCAAATCTCGCCGTATACTCTTATTACAATGCAGTATGAATGGTTCATGAGGAATGGTGTACATGTTTCTGCCCCAATTGACTGGTTCTGCAAGACCGTTAGTCCGCAAGTCAGCGCTGCGTTGCGGGAAACTACTTGCCCAGGCCAGGAACTGCTCGACTGTAATGCCCGCGACGATTGGATGGCAAATATACGGGCATTGTCCTTCATTATCAATTCACAGGTTGCAGCTCTTGTCCGTAGCCATACATGGGTGACTCGTCCAAGGGAGCACCCACGGCGATGGAAGCCAAAGCGACGATAAGAGTAGATGAAGGACTGATGTTGGGCAGGAGATGTTCATGATTGAGGATGGAAGCTAGCCTTTTGGCGAGAGATGTGTGGTGTCATTGTCGGCACCGGCGCGGCTGACAAAGGAGGGCACACCGAATGTCCGCGACCACGTTTCAAGAAAAGATAGACTTAGTTGAGATACATAGTCCGTATAGCTAGAGATGGCAGGCTTAAAGGCCTTGTTCGCAAAGGCTAGGGCAGAAGGAATAGCCTTATTAGTCAATCTTTTGCCTTGCCTCTTCTTGCGGCGTCGCTTACCTTCGAAGCACTATGGAGGCGTGAGTGAGACAGGCAAAGCTACACCTTTTGGCTCTACCTTATGACTGGCACACGAGGATACGGTTTTTTTAACGAAGCTTGGCGACGGTACGACCTATGCTCGGACCAGGCCTGGGACGCGGCAATCAGTCAGTACAAAGGAGTCAGAGAGTTGGACACCGGAGGCTTTCTAAGTACCCTCAGCGGAATCTTCAACAACACCGAAGGTAGGGATTGCAAGATTATAGACTACAATAATGGATGGAATTCCTTTTGAGATTGCATTCCAGTCTGTAACTTACCTGAAGCCCAGGTGGTATCTTGATTTTCAATGACTTAATAACGATAAGTAATGTAAGCGAGCCCAAGAACGTTGAATTGCCCTCAAGCCGGTCTGCTATGTATCGACAGCCGCTTTATAGCCCTTTAAATCTACATGCAAGACGGCCAATGAACCCTTGAGGTAAATAGTATGCTCAAGGAATCTATTAAGACATTTTCGCGATCTTCGAAAAGAAGCCATCGCCATCCGCATTATTATAGAAATTATTACCTTCAGCCTGACGGATTTTATAGGTCCCTCGTTCAGCAGCTGTAAGTCGTATCCTGCAGGCTGGCCGCTCTGCATTTCTTCTATAAGGGACGAGAAAGGCAAAGACAGGTATACTGACACGTCGTTTATACACACGATGGTAGTACGAAAATATGCTTAGGCTATAGCTAACCAGGAGCATTTAAAGGATGTGCAATTCTTAACGAGCTTTGCTCGTATAACGGCTAAGGGCGTTACTTAGTTAGTTCTAATTTCCCGATTACCTAGTTATAAAATCTAGCATAGGAACTGAAACTAGAGGCCGACGCCGCCCTAAGCTAACCTATAGTAAGATATGTCTAGTCTTATTTTTAATTAAGTTACTTAAAGTAGTTAGAGTATTATAATCCCTTATAAGAGATAGTATCTATTTCTAGAAGATATATTACGACCTAATAAGGGTTTTAGTAGGCTATAGACTAATATATAGATAAAGTGCTATATTAAACCCTTAGGAAGAGAAAGAAATACTAGGTTAACTACTAGGTAAACTAATTACTATTAAACTAACTACTAGTTAAACTAGTTACTATATATAAATATATATATAAATTAGTTAGTATAAAGATAGATAATCTATAGCTAAATAAAAGAAGAAGAAGGAAAACTCTATAATATAAAGTAGCTAGGAGGGTATTACTAGTTATTAGGTTATTATATTAAAGAAGGAGGGTATAAATTATACTATTATATTTAAAAGAGGGAGTCTATAAGTATAACTATATATATATATATATAAAGTATAGAGTAGAATAAGTTTCCCTATTAATCTACTAGCTTATAGTTACTTAGATCTAGTAAGTAACCTCCTTAATATCTTATTAGTTAACTACTATATTTATCGCGAAGACCGTTGCGCCACGCAGGCAAAAGTAGAACGCGCTCCGATAGGTGCGCTGCAAATGACATATATCTAACAACCGCGTCTTTTCCCGACACACCCCCTCAGGGATCGCGGCTCCGCCGGGAGCCCTAGACCTTATAGCCTAAGACGCGGGAGTCGAACACCAAGCGCCGCGCCAATAACCCAAGGAAATCCAAGAGAGGTAGTTGTCTACGGGGGATTGAACCCCGCACCGCGCGCAGTTATAGGAAGTTGCAGGGGTGGTAATTATGCCATCCCCTCCCGGGCTTATAACTATCGCGAAGACTATTACGCCACGTAGTTTGACGGGGGCATCTGTACCCCAAGGAACACACAGCCCGCGCAGCAGAGTCTTTGGCAGGGTCCTTGGCAGGGTCCTTGGCAGGATCCTTGGCAGAGTCTCTGGCTAGCCCTCTTCTTGATCAGATGATCCCTTGGCCCCTGTTCGTCTAGGGAAGAAGGAGGGAAAATTCGGTCTATAAAAGAGGTCTCTTTTCCTCCTTAGCTAGCAGACAGCATCAGCATCATCATCTTCTTCTTTTATCACCTTTATATTATTATCTTCTTCTATATCCTCTTTTGCCAATATACCTTTTTGGCCCTCTTTGCCTTTGCCTTACCCTGCCTAGTGCTTTCTCTTTTCCTTCGTTCCCCTTAGACCCCCTCGTCCTTCGGTATCTAGCTGCTGCTGTTGCCGTTGGCGTGGGTGTGTCTTTGGGTGTGTGCCGTAGCCACTGTTAAAGTAGGCAAAAGTAGAACGCGCTCCGATAGGTGCGCTGCAAATAATATATATCTAATAACCGCGTCTTTTCCCGATAATATTTAGTGCCTTTAAATGTAGCGATAGTATTTTCTTTACTTTTAAAGCTAAGGGGCGCGCTTATTAGTATATATAGGTATAAGCCTAACCTTTAATAGTTATATATTAGTTTATAGCGTACTAAGACCCTTATTAAGTCTTTAAGACCTTAATTAAATTATAATATACCCCTTTAAGTATTATAGACTACTATAAAGACTATAATACTTACTTATTATATTATTAATATACTATAAGTACTACTAATATAAGTAGGGCTAAATATAAAGCTATTTATAGTTATTAAAACTATATACTATATTTACTATATTTAAAGCTTATAATAGTAGTATAATAAGTAATTATAATTTTTATAAAGAGAGATATAAGAAGTATATATAGAATATATAAAGGTAAAATTAAAAGTAAGGGGATAGATAGGTAAGGTAAAGTTATTTAATTTATATAGGGGCAATAATTAAAAAAAGGGAATAATTATTATATTACTTTAATTA